GGCCACAAGCTGAGGCACCAAAAGTTCCACAGGAACTTGAGAAAACATTTGACAGTGAGGGCAACAGAGCCCTGGACCAGGCTGCCCAGACAGGTTGTGGAGTCTCCTTCTTTGGAGATCTTTAAAACCCGCTTGGATGCAGCCCTGTGCCACGTGCTCTGGGTGACCCTGCGTGAGCAGGGGGGTTGGACTMGATGACCTCTGAGGTCCCTGCCAACCTTCRGCATTCTATGAGTCTGTGATTAAGATGGTTTTTGCTTTTTTAAAGCTATTCCAGAAAATTTAAAACATATCAGTGACTGAGAGACACCATGATATGCACAAGGACATCACTTTAAAAAGTACGGCGCAGTAGTAAGCTCTTTGAAAACCTCTTATTTGTTTTAGGTATTTAATGTCTTGCCATGAGGCYGCAAGGATGAGTAGACAACACTGTATTAAGACTGGCTTAGGATACTCAAACTCCTTGCTTGAGCTACTGCAGACAGCATCCTGGAAGTCATGCAGGCACTTGATTCTGTTTGTGAAAGGATTTACAGTGTTCAAAAGACTAGACTTCTGAATAGCAAATGACATAGCATGAAAATAAAAGGAAGGTAGAGATTCCAACTATTAATAAAAGGTAGAATTGAAGATAAAAAAGGTATTAGCATAAGGAGGAATACTTCACATGCGACCTTTTTTCTTTACAAAAGCTCTCCTTCAACAGCATAAAAATCCTATAGAGAGACAACTGTAGATACTTTTTCCCCAGAACGCGTGTGATGGATCCTCTGTGAAGTTCAGAACAAGCTGTTTTCAAAGGTGACAAAAAKGTGACCACCACAGTCTTGGTGCTTCTTTGCTACCAACCATTTCCAACCTCAACACTCCCTCACAYATACACTGCGAGAGCTTTCCAAAGACACAGAGAGTGGCTGGCATGATCTTTCCTCTACAAAATTCGTTGGGTACCTGCTACGTTAAACTCAACACAATATTAAAGCAAAAGGAGAAAAGGAGCTCTGGTGAAAGGAAGGAAACAAGTGGGCTTGTTTCCTTCCTTTCACCAGAGCTCCTTTTCTCCTTTTGCTTTAATATTGTGTTGAGTTTACAGCTCCTTCTGTAAATCAGTGCATTTTCCCTGCTTTATTTTGGGTTGTTCTCACATCTATTTACCTATCTCCCTCAGATGCCAAAAGAGATTAAATTTTTTTTTTGATTGATCAAAGTTATCGAGAATACTTTCCACAGAAGAGGAGAGTTTTGTAGCATTCAGAAAATTAACTGAACCATCTTCACTACAAAGAAATGTTTAATATTTTACAACCTATGGCAAAGGACAAAAGATCACTGAAGACAAAGCGCTTAATGCATTTTACAACTTGGCCCTCAAACTCACTTTCTGTTTTAACACAGATTTGAAATTGCCACTGGTAGATCTTATGACTTTGCCAAAATGGCAGTATCAAAATGTCCAGGTCACTTGACCAGACCACAATTTATAGGTTTACTCTTATACAGCATTGTAAAGTTCAAGAAAACAACATCAAAACATGTGTTTTCAAAGTTTGCAAGATCATTAAGCATATGTGACAGATGGATCCGTGAACTGGAAAATTTCCTCGTCATACAAGTCTTCTGGTAATTCTTCATCTCCATCAGCAAAATATGTGGGGAATGGAGGGTTTTTATTGCAGTCCTTGTAACCAGGCAATTTGGTGTCTTTCACCTAAGGAAGAAGAGGAAAAAAATTKAATAAATCTATCAAAAGACTCACAGACAGTCATGCACTAAAGCTTAACGAAATCACCTTGAAAGCATTAGAAAAATGGTTTTCACACTATTCCCATATATCTGAAGAACTCCATGTCTAATCATCAGTCGTTTTAATATCAAACTGAACTACAAAATGCAGTATTTCGTACCCAAGTCATTGAAGAGCTTTAAAAAAAACAAACTAACAAAAAATCCCCCCCAATCCAGAACTCATCTCTTGTACCATGCAGTGAGAAACCCAAGTCTATTGCTATGAATTCATGGCTCACTATTTTAAACYGCTGCTAAAATAAACATGTAAATAGTGGTGGGTTTAACTATGTTTCGATCTCATTTGTTTTCCTACAGGGCATATCAAGTTATATCATGTAGTGCAATCCCTGCAACAACCAAGGCATCCTTGGTGGTAGTAGTGGAACGAACTACTACTGGTCTAATTTTGCAGAGATATGCACAAGTGCTTAATTTCATGTGCTGTACTCTTTCTGATTACTGGGGAACTATTCAACGAGTGCAAAGTTAAGTACCCCCTAAATCCTTCACAGAACCAGGTTTGTAAAACATGTGGCTTTAAGAAAGTTAATTTTAAGGAAGATAATGTCACACAGAAATAACTTTCCTATGCTGACCTTTCTACATGTCAAAAGATTTAAAATCTTGCCCTTGAAACTTCAATCTCTGAAGAAAATTAGTAGCTGGAATTATCAGCAAAAARCAGATTGTCTGAGGTAGAAGATAGACAGCTGGTATCTCTGAAGAAAGGAGAGCTACAAATTCTCAAATGATGAAATTTTATTTAAAACCAAATTCTTCATTTCTGAATTGCTACAGATGATCTTTCTGTAGGAGCTGTAATAACTCCTTTGCATCACCACTATATTCAATTGGATTTAAAGAAGTACAAATAGCTGAGGGAAAAAAGTAGTTTCTTGCCTTTTTTTTTTTTGATTAGCTGCTTAAGAAAAAGAATCTTCTTACTTCTTTTTGAAAAGAAATCCACAAAAGGCCACCATGATTTACAACGAAATTAAATAAAACGGTTTTATGTTTGCTGACAGTTCTGTTCTGACAATACTGTATTTACCAGATTCATGTCCAAGTCTTTCCTAACGTCTAAGAGAATTCTTGCAGTTGTAGCACACTGTATTTGACCTAATCTTCAGTTTCTGAAGAAGCTTCTATGTTCAGTTCTTCYAGTCCTGAAGCATCAACTTAGTGCCTCAATACCAATTTAAAAGACTGTGTTTCTTTCCCTTCTAAGTTTCAAGAGTTGTCAGACTGTATTATTTTTCCTACCAAAAATGGACTAAATTTCAGTCTGAAAGCTTTGATTAGCAGCTCAAAAAGCTGTGCCATTTACCTGTCTGCAAGCAACTCCTGAATGACTTTCTTTACATTTATGAAGGAGATCACATACCAAAGGTTTTGCATACGTATTTCCTCATATTGCTACACATATTCCACAATATTATAAAGGAGATTATTAGTATGCAGTCATAGTTACACTTGTCTGTAACAAAATGCATGCAGACAAGAAGTATGAGTGATCTGGTGTGAGCTATACTCTCAGCAATTCTTCTGAAAGAAACTTATTTATAAGGTAAAGAAATCCCACTAAAAGACCTTTACCTTATTTCTCACAGTAAAAGCTGCAAGCCTGAAAAATAATGCTTCATTGCAAAGAATTACTAAATACCACTTCACTTCCTTCCTTCCCAAACGTAAGTAGCTTACCTCTTTTTTTAATTTATACTGAAACAATTTATACTGAAAGTGGTTGTTAGATGCAATTGCTTTAGCAATCTTCCATAGTACAGTTGTATACTCTAATAGATGTACAATTATATGCAAATATTTAACATATGAATTTCTCAGCTATTTCTGGACCTTAAGAGAAAAATAATACCTCAAAATGATGGCCCTGACATAACTAAACTTTTTAAAAGCAGTTTTCTACAGGGTAGCATTGACCCATTTCAATATATTAACACTCTCTTCTCAAGAATTCTCAAAAAATAGGAGTCCCCATGAAGGCAAAGCAAGATTTAACACTTAGTGTTACTAAAGCCCAATGTATTTCGCTCTCATCCATGGAAGGAGTTAGGCTGAGAGCCCAACTGGCTGTTACCATCCTGAAAACATGCCCTGTTATAACTTCATACAACACAATCATTTGGTTTGCTTAAGTACCTTATTAATAGTAGTATACATTATCTGTGAAGCTTTTAAATTGAGATAAATACTAGAGAAAGYAGAAAATGGACCTGGTCATGATTTTGTCACTAAACTTTAAAATACAGACAGAAATGGTTTAGGAGACACTCAATAAACTGCACATTCATCTCCCATATGTTGACAGCTTAATAGTTAGGATAAACAAAAAAATCTGAGAAATCTATCATCACAAAATACTTAATACAGTCTTAAATAAGCATCAAATTTTGATGTTAAAGTCACAGCTCACATATGCACTTTAATGAGGCTTCAGGCTGTTTTAACATTCACAGCAGCAGAATATCAACTGTTTGCTAACAGAAAAGTCTTTAAATACACAAAATTTGTTAAAAATAATTTCTTAAGTGTCATATACTACCTACCTCAGCTTCTAAGCTACCTCAGAAGTTGTATACGAAACTGAGTGCAAGAACTATACCCATTCCAGAACATTATTTTGCCCTGAAAACAACAAAACCAAACTTAAACCCACCACTATTCTATCATTAGTCTACATGCCAAGATTGTATTTTACTAAATCTGAGCATAGATTCTTTTGAAGTGATGAAGTGAGCTTTTTTGATCAGTTTTCCATCTAACTAGAAACATTACTTATGTCAGTTATTCACTTGCACAGTTCAGTGTGCAATATCAACTGAGAACTGACTTTAATTAAACCGGGAATCCATCCCAGTGCTCTGCAGTTTTTCTGCTGAAAATTAAACTTGAAACACTCAAGTGCTTCATCTCAGCCCCGACACAGTGCTGATGCACTAAGTTTCTAAAAATACATAAAATATAAAAGACAAATACATACTTTCAGGTGTGCTGGGGTTTTAATGGTTACCAAGCAACAAAGAGTGGGCACTGGACATAAATGCTTTCTTTTTAGAGGCACAGAAAGAAAAAAATATTACAGGATGTTCCACTTACAAGCGCTGATAAAGACAGATAGCTGCACACTGCCTAGACATTAGTCCTACCTAATTWCAGGTGGATATTTAGTGGAACGAACAGTAATTATAAAAGCTTCTATCTTATTTCTCTCCTCAGCTACAGAYTCAAACAGCTTTGACATCAACGTAGAGAGAGTCAAAGGCTCTATGTAAATAACAATATCATGGAAGAAAAGCAGTAAGACACAAGCTCAAAACACCACAGAAAAATGCAGCAAGGTTAAATTGAGAGGAATCAGAAATGGGAGAACAAATATGCGTAACATTGCATGATGCCTTTTTAATTAAAGCTTCCTCTGTTCTTCAGAGATGTATTTTAAAATGAAGATGCTTACTTTAATACCCAACTCATATGGTTAGACCTTCTCTTGCAATTACCAAATATCTGAGTGGGGCTGATTTTTTGAAATAATTCTAAACTACACTGTGTCTTCATGTCAAAGCATAAGTTTATTTGTTACTAAAAATCCATGAACATTTAAAGGAGCTTTGACAAAGATGACTGTCTTTTAAGTATTATATCATTTTAATCAAGCAGTTCTAAGGCATGAAATCCTCTCCTCCTCCTCATGGATGCTTAATCCTGTTTTCTAACAATGAAACTAGCTACAACTCTGAAATGTGCTTCACATGCCAGAAAGCCTACTTCAGGATATCTGGACTTTCAAACTACGGATAACTATGATGTGAAATATTTTCATAGGTAAATTGTTAACACAATTAACAGATATTCTACRTGTTAAAAAAAAAGACAGGGAAGTAGTTAGAAGAGTGCTTTGTGAAATTTAGTTCATAATGACCAATTTACTTGAAAAAACCAACAGAACTATTTTTACTTCTGTTCTTTGGATAAAATGCCAACTACCACCCGCAGTGAATGAATTGAATGCAAATCACCAGCAAAGACACCAGGCACATAAATGGTGGCACAGCAGAAGGCCATTGCAATCACAGTCAGTGACAGTTTGGATGTCAAAGTTGTTCTACTGGATATGCTCAGATGATTTGGCCCAGCAGTTTCCTATTAATAAGTTGCTGCTTACAGCAATCCTGCTTTCTCAAGCCTCCTTAGGCCAACAGCAGAACTGCTTCCAGAGCAAAACCAGTGAGAGGAGTACTATGGACTCTAGAGGAAAGTAATATCTTTGTGAAAAAAAGCAAAAGGTGGAGCTGACCTGATGATGACAGAGGCACAGTACCCATGCTGTATATTATTCTTGCAGGAGAGGTGTGTACAATGCCTGATTCACAAGCTGAAGATGGCTTTGTTTAAATGAGATCTCCACAATGTAAACACAAATAGGCAATACTAAGACATGTGACTTTGGTTTAAAAGCAAACAAAACTACTTCACATCAGAGGTGATTAACAAACGTTTATGTTCTTAACCCACTTAAAACCAGAACTCGAAAGATGAATCTGTCAAGTCGAGCTGTTAAGTGAGCTGCACCTCAACTGCTCTGTAAAAGGACCAACTGATACTGAGTGTGGCTGAGAAACTGGGAATGCTTTGCATTGCTTTTAAAGCAGTGCTAGCTGTGTATTTCTGCTCATGAATACAGCCCTTATGTAATATTCCAGAAATCTCACCAACAAGCTAGTGACTCAGATTATAGCTAAAAGAGGATGGCCCTAGACCCCAGACACCTACCGCGAAGTTACAGCAACTGTGTTGGCTTATCTTAGGCTAAAGAGGTCCAGAACTCCAGTGCAAAGCTATGAATGAGCTGTGTGGTGTGGGTGGTCACCCACTGTCCCTAGTAATCATTCCTAATCTGAAGGTTGTATCCAAGCAACGTTTTTCCTACTGTAAGGAGAGAGCTGTAGAGATTAACAGTCACTAAATAAACACTGAGTTAAAGAAAGCAAACCTACCTTCACCAGACAATTTTTGTGACCTGGAACAGACCCATTTACATAAATAATATCATGTTTTGTGTTGATTCTCCACACCTAGGAGACAAAAAAAATATTTTTAGAAAATATTCCCAGCTTTATATAAGCTGGGAATACGAACTATGGTACAAGCTATATACAAGCTATAATGAAGCACAAACTGATTGATTAACTGCACCTAGAACTCTAGGGGAGAAGAATGTTCTGTATAGACTTAAATTTGCTACAAAACTCAGTCACTTGCTGTCCTAAGTGGAYAGTTCTCTAATGCAGGAATCTGTTCATTATCTTAACGGGTTTATGATCAGGCTACAAAAAACAACCCAGCTCTTCACTCAGTATAACTCCAACTTAAGCTCCCAAGTTCCTTCCTCTCTTTCAGCAAGAGCTGTTGTAAAGATCACATGTGACAAATTTAAGATAAATATATTCATGGAAATGCTACTGCAAACATTTTTTTTTTAAATTTCTTAATTCTTTGAGGTGCTCAACTGAACATGTACATTTTCTAGTTACAAAACATTAGTTTTAATTAGCAGAGAGCAGCAGCACACGTTCTCGCAAAGTGCAGGTTAATACGCTTCTTGTGCAAACAGCAGATTGTGCCTGCAAAGAGCGAGAGCAGCAGCAGAAATAGCTCAGGCACCGCTGCAGGTGTGCACACATCAGAATCAAGCCAGAAACCACAACCCGGTTTTGCTCAGGAACCTGGCAGGCCATTGCAAAACAGCAACATCACACAAGTCAGACTTTGGCTGGATTTGAACAAGCAGAACAGGCACTAAGACCTAAGTGAAGGGTCTCAAGCAACCTGAGTACTTTCCTACTTGAGAGGCAGAGATCAAGGCACACAGTGACAAGCATGACAAGTGTCTGCGTGTGGCCGTGTCTCCTGAAACGCTACCCTGTGCCAAAGTACTGCACATATGCAAAAGGCAGTTCAGGTATCTTATTTTCCTCTTGGTAAGCCACAAAAAGGCGGGAATGCACATTTGCTACTTATGTCTTTTCAGCTTGCTTACTTGAAGATGCAGTCATGATCCTGAATTCTGAAGCTGACAGGGAATGGTGGATGGTACAGCACCACAACAACATCCACTGCTTGTCATGCAGCTGTCTTGTGCRCTCTAGTGAACTCACCTTCAATCCAAAGGATGTCCTGTAAATGTTACCCATTCTGCCAGGCATTTTCTTTCCACGGTAAACTTTGGAAGCTTTCTAGGTACAAAGAGAGCTCAAAGATAACAAAACTGCAAGAGGCACATTTACAAAGCCAAGGGGAGAAGCAAAGAAAATATATTGGTATTTTCAACACTGAAAATATTTAATGAGCATTTTAAATACCTCCAGGTTTAGCTTTAAACTATGTGTTACCCGAAATAACTTCTTCAGTAATAACACTATAAAAATGCTCTATGAACAAAGATATACTAGCTTTGCTTGTCCAAAATATTTGTMGATTCTGAAAAAAAAAATCACACCATATTTTCACTTGGCAAAGCAATAAACAGTATAATTTTCTAAAATCCCTGTCAGCACAAGACTTGTGCCTTTCACATAGAGAGGAGGGAGTTGCTCATACTATGGGTTGATGCCATCACAGAGCTCCAGTGCAGCCCTGACCTGGGAGGCAGCCAGAATTAAGATAACTCAAGCTTCTCCTCACCTTCCTAATCCGTAAATTTTATAACAACCCTGTTACAGATGTAGAAGAGATTTTTGTTAAACATGTRTTTTTCAGAACAGGATTTAAAATGAACTGCTCTAGTTTCCATACCCCCAATTTCATTTGGAAAACTTGAAGAAGAAAGGTTAAAAAAAAAGAAAAAAAAAGGGGGGGGGGCAGGAATAAGTGCAATAATGTTCACTTTGACAGCATTATCCAGCTGTCTTGCCAAGCCAATATTCGAATTACCACAATTCAAAGCAACTGGTAATCCTTTCCAATCCATAACTGCTATAATAAAGGATTTTCAAATTTGTATTCAGATCACTAATACTATTTATTTCACCTATACTACCAAATACCCAAATCTGCTCAGTTAAAAYATGCTTTATTTACTAACAATACAGGACATTCATAAATTAAGGGRCTATCCTTAATCTCTATAAGAGAATAGCCACTGTTCACTGATTTCTGAACTTCCTCTCAAGAAATTGGCATTCTCTGCCTGCACAGAATGGGCAACAGGCTGAGAAGGCTACTTGTCCCGCTAAAAGGGACAGCTATTTTGAAATAATTTGTTTTAGTGAACATATTGGGGAAAAGTGTATAAAACATGCTCAAAGAAAAAAAGAAAAAAAGAAAAAAGAAAAAAGAAGAGTCCTCACATTGGTAGATATTGCTCCAGGACGCCTGTGAGTTTTAGTTTGGCCGTGAGTAGCAGGCTGGCCTTTGAATCCCCATCTTTTCATAACACCTTGAAATCCTTTACCAATTCTGAAAAGRAAAACAAAACAAATGGGTTAATCATACTTGAAGTTTCTGACAACRAACAGTAACTTCAGCCAAGCTCCTGATTTCTTCACCTGTAGCAAACTCAGCAGTCAGAAGAAAATATTTTAAAATCTATATTCTATATCATAAATATATTCTAAAGCACTGGTTAACGTTTAGAGAGTAAAAACCACCAGAAGAGAGTAAAATAAGCAAAAAGGCTAACAAAGCTTCTTGCTATGATGGTGCTCTATACAAGGTACTATATTGGAGCTCTCACTAATGTTGAGATGAGATATAAGAAAAACAAAATAAATAAGGAGAAACTGAATAATAACCCATACCAAAATTTAATAAAAGGCCCTGAGCATCAACAGAGGAAAAATCAAGGCTGCCAAGAGAAGCATCCAAATAAGCAAACCAGCATTTCTTTACCAAACTACAATAGATTTGTCTCATAATAGCCAACTTCAGAAAATAGCTTTATATGTAGTGAAAATATATAAATCTTCTGATCTGGACTCATCTGACACATAAGGTCCAAAACAAAATTACAAATAAATGCATCTTCAACATCCACACCTTAATCTTTGAGACAAGTGATAATATTACTGCCTTTGGAGTTCTGTGCTTACCGCAGGGATAGACTCAACAAAAAAACTGCCTTACTGTTACACAAAGAAAAAGCAGATTAAAGTGTGTTTAAACCTGCAGCACTGTCAGTTTCCAAGAGGAAAAGTCTGTCCGTGGGGATTATGGCTGCACTGATTATTTGATTAACTTAAATAAAATGATCCTTTTCCTCCAATTTACAGGAATCCTCTCCTGGCTATGGCACAGGTCTATTAAGTTTCAGCACTGGAACCTTCCAGCCAAGCCCAAGAAAGCAGAACTGTGTGYGAGTATGCACTGCATGGGCTCTACACATAGGCAGGTTTTGCTGACCCAACAACTTAGTACAGTTACAGCATTAAAAACGGGAGAAAATACAGGAACGCTGAAAACAYCACACCCCACTCTTTCCTCTTACAGTTGTACAGTTCTCCTCTGAGTTGCTTTAGCCAACCAGCCAAGGCAAAGTCAAAAGCAGACACAGAAAGAACCTTTAAAAACATCGGGAAACGTGACTCGCACAAGCCATGTCTGCCTCTCAGCCCGGCCTGTGTTTGAACCTATCGTTTGAACTCCAGTGAAATCTGGCAAAGTTGGATACATTCATTCTCTGAAATCCAGATCTTTGGTTAGGAGTACTCCTCTTTTTTTCTCCCCTGTTCATCTCCTACAACTACAGAAATGCTATAGCATGGTCGTAAGTGTCACCTGCCCCTCTGGCCTTTTAATTATTCTGCAAAAATAACATTTTTCTTTATTCTTTTATCTACTATATGCCATGTTTTTCAAACAGACTAGTTCTGGCATCTCTAGCTGAAAGACGGAATTAAAAAGCTCTCCCAAACCAGCTGCAAGCAGGTCACATAATAACAGTTGTGCAGTGGCCAGGTAGAGCAGACCGAGGGCATGATTAATTCTTCAGCTGCAGAGATGTATTTGCAATCCACAGAAAGGCAGACAAGCATCTGAAGTCACCCTTCCAAAAGAAAATGGTACTGTCAACTTTAATCAAGGACCAAATCCCTGATATTACAAAACCACTTCAATACCTCATTCGGATGGTCCATCTTTTAAACATGAATGACGTAACACACTGCAGTTATGTACTTTTTGTAAAATATAATGAAAAACAATGCCATATCTACTAACTACAACATGAAACAGCATCCAACATTGGAAATATGCTGAGAAAGGGTCAAGGAAGAAGTCAATACTGAAAATAAGATATGTAATTTTTAATGCTTTAATATCTACCAYGGTTCTTTCACCATAGCTCTCCAATTTATTCTTAGAATACTTTTCTTTTTTTGTTGTTGTCTTTTTTCTTTTTTGAAGAACTAATTGAAGGTCTCCAAGCTACCTACAAATACAGCTTATTTGGTAACTTTTCTGAACACTAATTTTCTATTCAACTTGAAACTCACAATCATAGCTGTGATTTAAAGTAAGTTCACCAGAAAAAGTTATAGTTCTGTTTCATTTTTGTTTTTCAAAAGAAAGGTCATACAAGTGCATAACATTCTTTAAGCACATGCCACAATGAAAAACAATTATGTGGACATCATTATTCTTTCCTAACCTTATCCTTTCTCTTAAATAAAGTTGGGAACAGTGTTAAACTACAGGTTTATGTAAATCGAAAGCAAATTTTAAAATTAAATTAAAAGACTATTAGCACCAATTTAAAATGAAGCTTTGTAAGGAGTAGTGTCCAACTAGTCATTTATTAGTCCTGCCAGCATCTCTTAATCATTTCAGCAAAGTATCATACCTCTAAGCTAAGACTGTCTTGATGTGACTGTGAACTGCTCTCAGACAAGCACTGATTTTTGTACTATATTCAAAAGAAAAAAAAAGAACATAAAATTTATCTTAAATCTTCTGAAAATTAACCATTAACTAAGAATATATTCACGTCAACCTCTGAGTAAATGTCAAGTGTCAGATCTGAGTACAAGAATCACTGGTTTCAAATGGTTTAATTGGCTTTTCACTTTCTTTAAATCACTAGAAGTTAATGTACACAGTATAACTCTAAAAAACAAAATAAACAAAACAAAAAAAAGCATAATTCTGCTAGCTCCAAATAAACACTTTTCAAAAATATGAAGGCTTGTAAAATCAGGATCTTCATCCAGAACTATATATTAAACAGAATTAAGATCTCCATTTCACTCTGAGAAGGTCAAGTTATATGTGCAGTATCTCTGATAATCTGATCAGTGAAATGTGTTGAAGTAGGTTTCTCATCCCATTTATACTGTTGAGATTTTCCTATGTCATCTTCTGACTGTTGTCAGAACAAAAATAATTCTTGAGTCAAGCCAATATCTTAAGAAAACAGTATTATTAAACACAGCATCTGAACAGGCTAGTTTGCAGGAGACCTTAATTAGACTGGATATACATATTATCATTCTTATACTATATAGGGAAAGTCATTCTATCAGTCATCTCATTAAAGCATGCTTCCCTATAGTCCATAAAGGAATCACGTAGGCAACAATCAGGAATATGCAAAACAAAGTTTAATGCAAAGGTTAAAAGAAATTAAAATAATGGTTCTGTAGAATTAAAAATAGAATTTAATTAGACACAGTTGTTCTAATCTCACCTGCAGGAAAGCAGCTGTTAAAGCCAATCACCTAACTTTGTATAGAATCTTATTTTCCAGGTTTAAGTGAAATGCCAGTACTTAATTAGCCAACATTTATTTAGAAAACTACGGAATAAGGCTCTCTAATTAAGCCACAATTTAGTTTGCTGCTAACTCTTCAAACCTAGCTGATTTAAAAGACAATTATTTAGACACTGCAAGGGAGAAGAATTACAGCTTTTTAGTCAAATAATTTTAGAAAATTATAGAGTATATTTTCAGGCTTGGACTATACTGTTAACCTGGCAAGGATTTAATAAGCTGCTAACTCTGCATAATCGCCACCCACTTACATTTCAAAGTAAATTACTATTTGCTTTTTCTTTATATTGGCATAATTTCTGATAGTCCAATAGCTTCCTGAAATGTGAACGAAACAGGTTATAGAGAGGCAGAAAAGGGAATTTTGCAAAACTACCTTTCATCTAGCAACTACAAAATGTAAGGACTGATCTTTTAAGTTGCTTAAAATAGATATTAAGGAAAGCATTTCATGCAGAAGACAGACCACATGCAGGCCATCTACTGTCAGTGTTTAAAAGCTGCTCACACTGTGTTGAGCAAATTACAAGACTTAGAACAAAAACAAACTGCACACATCTTTATGCCTGCTTGTTTCCATGGCAGTGGTTTTCTCACTGAAGTATAAAGGAATCAAAATATTTCAAACGAATTTGACAAAAAAAGTATTTTCAAGGAGATTTTAAAAGGGGACGATCTAAAAAGGATAATCTGATAATCAAATCAAGATACTAACCAAGATTTTCCTGAAATGCAGTGACAGTTTGTTCAGACCACAGTAACTAAGATCATCTTCCTAATTTCTGTAAGGAGCAACTTGCACAGGGATGAGAAATGCTCTGTTTAACAAAAACAGGTCCAATAATCTCCACAAAGTAACTACTTGAATTATTCTACCTTTTTTGTCTTTCAAAATAATACCTGCTTATGTTTTAAAAAAGTTGAATCATTTAAAGCAGATCTGCAACACCATGCAAAGTGTTGGGTAAAATCAAGATATGCTCTTAAAAGCTCTTCTACAAAGGGAAACCATTTAACTTGAGCAGGTGCAGAATAAACTGCTACGAATTAAAGGCTGCTCACTGAACACAATTTAGAAGCTACATGAATAATAATGTACCAGATTTGAGTTTTACATAAGCAAGTTTGACGTAGAAAAATACTAATTCCAGTCAATGATTTGTCTTCCTTAGATGGAAATTTTAGATACAGTAGATAGTTTTTCAATAGGCTGCCCTGACAGAAGGCATATGAGAACTGGTGACTCTGCTACACTGATATGGTCAGTTTCTCTATATCTACACAGGAATAATAACAGGAACCATATTTGAACTTTGCAAGTATTAGATGGGGAAAAAAAAGATAATTACAATGCATATTTCAAAAAAATGTTAGGCATTCTCTCCATTACAAGATTACTAAACATCAAATGAAAAACATCATTTCAATACCATAATATAACAAAAACGTACTTCACTGTAACACTGAGATAACAGCTTTCCACCCTTTGGGGCAGTTGAAGTTATGCATGTAACAGACGAGGCATGACTAGTCTTTGAGGCAAGGTGCCAGCTGTTCTTTKGACACCCTCTACCACTCGAGCCTTAACTTGGCATTCATGGTATTCTGAGAGGAAAATTCCCTCTGCATTAAAGAAAAATATCATTAGTGAGTTGCTGGCAGAGGAGATGGACACTAATAAGAGAGAATGCAACATGGGATTGTGACAATTCTGTTGTTCTGCTAAACGTTATCACTTTCTTGCTTCTTCTCATTCTGTCCACAGGCTTCCATGTCTCTCTGCATCTCTTCGTCAAATCAAAATTAAGCATCTCTTGTGAGAGCTGAGGCCTCTCAATATTTATTCCCCATCTCTACCTACCACATGTGCTCCGCTATACACCTCTTGGCCTGTGCTAGGCTTAGGCACCTTAGCTGTGTATCAAGGCTTTCAGTGCTAATCAGGTATGTGTTACATGCAACACATGCTGGACCATAGCCTTAACATAATATGTGCTTGCTTAAGGTGCTCAAAATCACAAATAAGCTTCAGTGGAAAAGAGCTGAACGGACTTCTATTTTCTGCCACTCCCTTTGCAACTAAATTTTGGCTTTTGTCAGCCATGAGTTGCAGCCAAAGATGGCAGGGGAAATCAACCCATTTGAAAGATGCACCCTGCACATTAAAAGGTTAGGAACTCACGTTTTTGCAGTAACATCCACGACCTGCCCCGGGCGGAAGTGAGCAGCATACAAAGGTGTTCCTTCAAGAGAAGAGGAAAGATCATGTTCAACTAAATGCTGAAAGCCACAAATCAGCGTTGAATCRTTATCTCACAGGGTAAAAGACAGTCACACGAAAGGAAATAAAACTTTGTCTTGTATTCATGTATTAGGTGCTCCTATTCATAAACCTTCATTACTAATTCCTGTGCTTTGCACTTGCTACTAAGCAAATTTCTCAGTTGCCAGCCCAGCTTCAGATGGATAGGAGAGACTGGGCAAGAAAATACAATGTGTTCTACTTAAAACCACAAGCACCTGAAAAGRTGGAATGTATTTAAAAACATATTCCTTAAAAACAGGCGAAGCAAAAGTTTTGCAAAACGTTCAAAAAGCCTTCTGTTAAATATCAGTCACACTTCTTGAAGTAAAAAAAAAAAACCCAAACTTCAAACTACAACTTTATGCCCCATGAAACATTATCATGAAATTCTTCTTAGTGTCCCTTTCATAATGACTACCAGAAAAAAAATAAGGCACACATGTTATTTCYAATGCTTTAGTCAAGTTTACTCAATGTTAAGACCAGCAGGTTTGGATAGTAACTAATTTTCTACACAGTGGAAAGAGACTCTAAGAAAAAAGTAAAAGCTATTTTCTATTTTTCCCCTAATAATAATAATAATAATAAATAAATAATAATAAAAAAGCTTGTTAGTACTCAAAGATAAGAACTCAAAATTTGTGGTACAAAAAGAAAAAAAAAAGACTTTTCCCAAGTTGGACTAAATTTACAAGAAGTGATGGGCATTAAACAATCATGCATGTCATATTCTGCAGCTCAGAAAGATTACCTGGTTTAATGATGGCATCATCTGTTACATTAAATGTTGTAACTTTCTGTTTCCGTGGGACTCCAGCTTCTCTAAAAATTTTCATTTCAGACTCTGATCTCTGTGAAGAAGAGCAGCCATAAAAAGAAATAACGTTAAGATACCCAGGGATCAGCATTTCACTCAGTGTGATTGCAGACCATCAGAGGCACAGACATATCATACATCACTTATCTTGAGTACTTTATATGAAATAGTTCAAATCTTTTGTAGCTGCTTTTTGCTTTGTCATCTAGCTACCAAGAAGTTACATCATATGACCAAGACATTTATGCAGATTCTTAAAATTTAAATAGAGAAACTAGCCATATAGACTTTACATAAAACACATACTGCTTTTTCTTGAGTTTAACACTTTTCCAATAGTTTTCTAGATAGTTTAAAATATTTTCTTTTTCAAACTTGTTAATAATGACATAGTTCTACACCATCACAAATAATTTTTCTTACACTTAATAAAGCAAACCAGTCAAAAAAGGCTTTGTCGTGCAAAATATTCTGAAAAAGACTTAGCTTCTCATGAAACCAAATGCAGACTCTCTGGAGAAAGAGGCAGTAAAGCGCTGAAGAATGAGTTTATACTTTTAAGATACATCAATTGCACTCAATACTATATTCTGACATAAACTTAAAAACACTTTAAATTGTTTTCAGGTGTTTTAAACCAGACAATTCACAGAAAAGAGCTGACCACTAAGAGGATACCTGTCAGTGAAAAAGAAGATGCAGGAAAACTGAGGCTGCAGGAAAAAGCAATGAAGCTGATTTTTCTTCAAATGAATACTCGTGGAAACCAATTTAAACATCTGCCAGCACTGTCACACTTGGCTAGTCACATCTCTGAGGTTCACGTTCCCTTCTCAAAAGTTCTATGCAATTACCCCTCTCCCAAACAAAAAAAGTTTCTCTGTATTTTCAGGCAAAATAATATGAATAACTTTTAAAATGTATGTAAGTTGCTTTTGAGAGCCAGCATGTTACCCTTCCTTTTCTTTCTGGAAATATATAAATAGTGTTAAGAGAACAGCAGAAGTTTTGTAAAGAATGAGAGAAGTAGGATGATAAAGCATCTCTGACTTGATTAGACACAAAATGCAACTTCTGCATTTATAAACTGTCCTTATTTGCAGAGGAAACAAGTCTTTGAAGGTTTTTTATTTTAAATTGAAATTGATTTGTTAACATAAAGTAATAATACAAAATATCTCAAATACCATTTTTAGAAAATCATCTATTAAACACAAAATCCCCTTAAAAGGCTGARTTAGTGACAGATGACCATCAGATTGTGGTAGCCACATGTAAGATTTCAAATCAATCAAATGCCTTTTCAACTAAATGCCTGCAAAGCAATCCTTTATTTTCACTACTACATAAATCTGTCTCCTTAGATGACAGCAAGTTGAGCCCTGTGCTCAGCATGAGAGTCTGGAAAGAGCTATCACAATTGAAAGAAAACACAGTAACTGTGAACGGGTAAAATCACTCACTTCTACCAGTCCTGCTACAGTGTTTCATTCTTCCACTTGAATAATAGAAATAAATTTTCTTCAAGCAGTCAAGTCATAGCGATGTATTTGTACAAACAAAAACCTGCAGTCTTTACAAAACCTTGCATTACTGTAAAAATATTGAGTGAAATCTCAAGGGTTGATATTTCAAGCTTATTATAACATCTTTCAGTATTATAGGAAAATGATAATTAAGTCAGTAGCATATGCATATATGTATAAAGTAACTTAAAACATTGACAGAATTATACTTTTTGAGAATATATTGAACAAGAAAAAAATTAAAATACTCAGTCCAGTTGTAATAGACTGACATAAATCCAGGTAAGAAGAAAAAAGACTTATTGCTAAGAATGTAATTATTGCCTATCATTTAAAAAAAATACACTTAAATAGATGAAACATTCTTTGTTGGTGAAATTACAGAGGGAATCATTAGACTGAATTCATTAACATCAGTAGCTGTGAGGAATCTGAGGAAGACAGATGTTCCTAGGAGGAATTAACAGAAGATAAACTGCTTATGCTAACACAATACAGAGTCAGTCAGCTTTCTTCTAATTCTCACTCGACACTTCAGAGAAAAAAGGAAACATACAAAAGTAGTAAAGACAGCAGTAATTCAAGCCTGTAATTTAAACCATAAAAACACAACATCTGCAGGCACCTCAATAACTAAAACTGTTCAGAAACTGTATGCCAGATTCTTTCCTAAAAAATATACATAAAGATTATGGTAATTACTAAGAGCTCAGACTTAGGCCAAGTCTTGACTACAGGACTAAGGATATAACCAATTTTCTTTATTAAAAAAAAAAAWGAAGTTTAAGCAAATTTAGAGCTCACTTGGGGGGGGGAAGAGAAAAAATATCAACATAATTCAAAATATGAAAAAAACTCTTGAGTTGACATTATAAGTAGTTCTGCGTTGTAGAAGCAAAGAGAGGTAAGGAGCTATTTAAATCGCTTTTTTTTTTCCCTTGTTCTCTTAACTCAGAACACATATTCAATCACATATTCAATCACTGCTAATGTTATCTTTATAAGAATTTCAACAGTATGGAGTTCAGTGTGCAAAATGCAATTTCAAAATCATTAGATTCACATGATTTTTTAAAAAGTCTTGAACCAATACAGCAGGTAGGAAARAGCACAGCTGTAATTCCATCAGGGAAAAATGTTACACATTAAACCAGAAATGGACTGAAGTGACAGAACAGATACACAAAATATCACTGGTAGTGAAACATGACATAACCCACTAAACAAAAGGAGATACATTAAAATATGTGCCTCTCCAAAAATCAATCCACAAAAGCCAACAAGTTTATCAAATATACATTTCCTTTTTGCTTCATCTCCACTAGGAAAATGAGRCAAACAAAAAGTATATGGATTCATTCTGAGGGTTTGGGATAACCTTCTTTTTGAAAGAAGGGGAGAAAAAAAAGACAGTCACATTCTCAAAAAAAGATAGATTTTTGAACTGTGAAAATCTGCTTAATAATCACAAGCCTTACTTTGTAATTGCCTAAGTCAAACAAAGGAGTGTCAGAACATTGTGAGAGTACACAGCTCTATTTTACAGAATCACACAGAATGTAATCTATTTATAAAATTCTCTATGGAAGAGAATATTCTCTACAGAGTATCTTCTTTATATAATCACAGAAAAAAACAGTCTTTTGTTCCTGCCTTGATATATAATTCAATTTTCCTTCTAAAGATCAACATCTTTGCTAGGTAGCCACAGCTATTCAAGACGGCTGGGAATTCCACATCAGGCATTTGGAGTATCTAAATATCTAAAAAGTGACCATGTTTTGATACTGCTGTTGACAAACCATATTCATAGAGCTATCTAATTGAAAATTTAAGTTTTACACTTTTAATTCATATTAAAGCTGTTCGCAACGATCAATCTCAACAAATTCATGGCAAAATTGCAACAAAAGCAAATGAACAGTAAAAGAGGGTCAATCATAGAACAATCAATCTAAAAACTAATGGAGCCCAATGACTCCTGATGACAGGAGATCTTCATCACACGTATGTTGGCGTATCCTTCTCCCCATCCACCCAAAAGTGGGGAAGGTACCTGGTGCTTCTATGCTGTTAAAGGCTCTGCAGACTCATCATTACCATGGGATGCTTTGTATCAGAGAGAGCKAAAGTTTCCAGACCCATCGCTTTCTTACAGTAACAAGGGCAAAAACCTTCAGCAAGTTGTCCTCACTTTCTAGACTTTCAGAAAGAACAATCAGAAATAGGTGAGAAAACACCTAGATATCTATATTCATGCCACTTAACCAAGAATTGAGACTCGCATTAAAGACACAAGCAAAGGTCMATCTGACAAAAGATCCATTCCAAAAGCTACATCTACAAAATAATTTCTCAGARGAAGCTTATTCATGCAATTGTTGTAGTGTAATGGTGATAAAAACAACATCCAAAGCAGTTTACTTACCGAAAAAGGAGATCCATTTTTCCCTCCAACAATCAATCTAGRTGATTTTCCATCTGAATCTTCTTTTGAAATGTACTTTAACACATGGCAATCTTGCACCTTAAAAAATGAAAATAAAAGTCTAGACACCTCTGTAAACACTATTAAGAGATTATCAAAACAAGTCCAGAAAAAAATAGTCTCTAATTTTTGTTCTTTTATAAGGAGATGCAGAGAACAAATACAGGAAAGTGATTTTAGGCATACTTCTTTTTTTTTTTTTTTTTTTTCAAGCAACTGAAGGCTTATCTTGATGCAATTTCTAGAACATTCATGAAAATGTGATTTGTGCTCTACTAATGTTTTTTGTAAGACAAGCCTTATTAAGTCTGTTTTATAAACACCTTTTTACCTGCAATATATGTAAAATTCTGACCAAATGCAACTATGAAGCATASAGTAAGAACAGCCTACATGACTAACTCCTATTCCCTTCTGCTGTAAACATGAAATCCTTCACAGCCTCAATCTATTATACGGCAGTAACAGGTTGGCAAAGCAGTCTCACAWTAATATCTGCCAAAGTGCACGAAAAAGCAGTTTCAGAGCTACAAAAGCTCCATAAACGAGGTGAAACCAAATTCCCAAGTGCCTACAGTTGGGATAAAGTGAAGCAGAGAGTGAATCCCAGCTTTATGTTGCCCTCTTCCTTCCTCTCTCATGCACATCACRCACAGTTTTGCATCAATGAACATCTGATGTAGAAGGCAGAGAGTTCCTAAAAAAAATGCAGATTCCAAAACCAGAGTGTAGGCRCAGCATGCTATGCATTCTGAAAGAAATCTTTGGGATTCCCTATTCTGCAAATATAGTTTCACTTTGCCTGGAACTTCTGGTTAACAGTCTGAATACAGTTTAAGGAGATGAAATTCCTCACAGTTTGTTTCACCTTAAGTAGTGTGACCGCATGTCTCTTTCCTGATTTGGTCCACATTGGCATCATTCCCAATTTTACTGCAACCACACCAACTCTGACAGAACCTGTAGATCAAAGCAGAACAGAAATGAAACTCCAAGCTCAATCCTTGAAAGAGCCAATCTCATGACCTACAGAAGAACATCCTGCAAAGACTGTTCAACTCAGATGTTTCCTAATGGTCAGATCAGAGGAAACAGAGAAAATATCTCTGACTCCCTGCAGGTAGGCTTGGAATAACTGGCTCCTTTGTTTTAACATTACAACAGTAAAGTTCTTTTGTACAAAAATGCCTTTGATACAATGTATAATGATCATCATGAAGATCAGAACAAGCAATGCTTCAGACCCATTTATGGCGAAAAAGACAGGACKCCCACGTAGAATCCTAGAGCCAAATTAACCAACAGAAAGATCGCTGTAGTATATTCCTCCCATCACGACATTTCCATTTTTTTGTCGCTGTTACAGTATAACAGGGACATTCTCTTAAGGCTTCTGACAGTCCACAGCTTGAAAATATAGAACGCACAAAATGAATCCCTTCTAACTTTCAAAAATCAAAACATTTCCCAAACAGATAAATAAATATAATACATCAGATCTCTAAAGAACATTTAAAGTATTACAATATGCTAATTTATAACTTAGTTTTTAATTAAAATCATCACTTCATCACTGTCATATCTACACCATGACAAGATAATAAGCAAGATAATAAAAGTATCCATCATAAAGACCCCCTTGAATACAAAATAATGAAGTTGAAAACGTTCTTTCAACTATTGCTAGACTCTGAAGAAGAAGGTACATTACTACTTAGCCACTCAAAAGTCTTACTCATTAAACAACAACATGAAGATTCTGACTCTCTAAAGGTTCACATCATTTGACAGCAACCAACAACGWGGCCTGTGAACCCACAAGAAGATCCTCAAGGACAACAGGAAAACAGAATGGAGCATATTTTGTTCCTTGCAGAGGTTAACATGATTGAGGAAACAGCCAAAAGGGTGATGCTTTACAGCACACAAGCCTACTGATACAGAATGCAACAACACAACAAAAATACTTATGGCATAAGTTTKKTTTTTTTTTTTTTTCTCAAAATAGGTGCTTTCTCACCTGGTGTCCACTCATTCAATGGCCATGGTTCATCCTTCAGAGGACACAACTTGCTGGCTGTCTGAGCTTTGTACTCTTCTGCAGTTATCTCCTTGAGGAACTTGACGTTCTCTTCAGAAAGATGCTCACTCCACCATGTTGTACTGTTAACGTGCCTGGCCACACAGCCCAGCTGTCCCCTACCCAATAACGGGAAAAAGTTTAAATTTTTCATCAGTTTGCACAGTGTCTCACAATATGTATACATTTAATGATTCAATCAAGTACTATATGATGCATTATGTAACACAGCAACCATAAAGATGAAAATCATACTCATATTCAACCATCACCACTCAAACTGGCCATTCCTGACCACCAATATCTGAGTATTTGTCATGCTTGCATCTGATTTCTCAAGTACTCTAAAAATAAAACAAAGGGGGCAGGCAAATAACAATAAATGAAGCAACCACTTCTTCTACGATAAAACCCCCGACCTGCAAATTAAGGGAAAACAGTGCATGTCATGTAATTTGACTTTAGCAAGGCTTTTAGCACAGTCTCCCACAGCAACCTTCTACATGAGCTGGGATGTCGGGATAAGGATGGGCAGGCCGCCAGATGGGTGAGAACCAGGCTGGATCACCAGGCTGTAGCCACTGTGGTTTGTGCTTTGCCAGAGGCACAGGATACTCAGAAGAGCATTTGGGGAGCTTGTCCTATTTAATGTCTCTCCCAATGGCCCATGAGAAGAGATGATTTGCAACTTATGAAGTTTGTGAATAAAATAAAATTGAAGAGAATAGTTAATACGCTCACGGACAAAGTTGCCATTCAAAGKCATGGAAGGATGTGCGATGTATCATTTTCAAAAAGAAGAAATTTGGAGCAGGGACCCAGAGAAGTCAGGGAGTCTCTGTCCGTGAGGACACCAGGATCCATATGGCCAAAGCCCTGAACAACCTGCTCTGATCTCGTGGCTGAAGCTACTTGGAGCAGGAGTTCGGACGAGCGACCCCCTCATGTTGCTTCAATCCCGACAGCTCTAATACAGCGTTCATTGCTGYAGCCTAACTACAGCTGCACATGGCAGTTTAGCTCTACTGTAACTTTGTGACTGCTGTGGGGGGCAAGAATAGGCTTGAATGCCTGTTGATCATCTGCAARTGAAGCGAAATATATAATTCTACAGTATAACTAAAGAAAATTTAAACTGTGCTGCTGGAGTGTGCTTTGAAGTGGATGAAAAGCATCCCCGTACCAGCTGCATGGCCATGAACTCAGGAACATTTTAAATTAGTGAAATTCTCATAGTCCTGAGGATCCTCCCCTGTATTACAGCACAGACGAGGGCAGCCGGCTCCGCGCGCCTAGGGCCATCACCTCTCCCTGGCAGCCAGGCTGCCCGTTAACGGGCGGCGACCCAAAGCCCGGGCTTCACCGCGGCGCCGCGAGAGGCCCGAGCCCCCGCGGCGGCCCCGCTCCGCTCTCCCCGCCCCCGCGGCCGAGCGCCCTTCCCCCGCCCGGGCCTCCCGCTACCTGCTGGCGGGAGCGGCCGCCGCCGCCGCCGCGCGGAGCGGCCTCCCCGGGCCCCAGCCCCACACACGGGCCCCCAAGCGGCCCAGCAGCCCCCAAACCGCCATCACGCGGCCGTTGGCGGCGGCTTCCGACGCGGCGCGGTCCGCCGGCCCAAAGCCCTCTGAAAAAACGTTCCGGCCTGAGCAGCGTTTCGCCCGGGCAAGGTTGCGGGAGGCGCGCGRAGRGGGAGGGGCGGGGCCTCCCCGCGATGGGCGGGGCCTCCCAACGGCTGGCGGCGGCGGCGCCGCCATTKTGGGGSGTCGCGGGCGGCGGGAATGGSGTGTTTTGCCCATGGTTTTCTGACGGCTGCGGAATATTTGGGCCTTTCCCCCGCGGAGGAGGGATTCGTAGGGAGTGGCGAAGCTTGGGTGGTTTCCTCGGASGCAGCAGTTAGTGCTTGGGGATCTGCTGAGGATGGTCCTTGTTGCAGAGTGCCCCTGAGATGTGGTGTTCRGGGTGCAGCGCTCACCGGCCTGTCCCGTGTAGTAGTGCAGGTGTTAGTCCTGCTGCCAGGATTTGGGGTGCTGCGTCCCTCTTTCCTGAGGCCATGCGAGGGCTGCTTGAGCCACCATCCCATTGTTATGAGGAAACCTCAGAGGAAGATGCACCCAAGGACGTATCTTCACTGTTGTTGCTGGTATATTATGAGAGGAGATGAACAAAAGAGCAGGTGTTGCTGGTATATGATGAGAGAATACWGACAAAAGGAGCAAACACCAGTAGAAGACGAAGATAAGGACYGCTGTATCTTTGTGGAACTGGCTGAAGCAGGACAGTAGAACCAAAACAGGGCCTACTGAGTCAAAATGAAGCCATATATGGAAGTGACTTCCGGGAAGATGACCACCAGGGGGTCTCAAAAAGACCACCAGAGACCACCAAAGGGACAGAGGRCGCATGCGTGTGAGGGTGGGGTATATTGTAATTAGTTCCAGGAAATGGAATGAATATATATGATCATTTCCTAGAATTTAATAGATTTAATAGAAGATAATAGAGAAATAAAAGTTTTAGCAAGCACCCCCTAGGGCATGCRCGATAGGTGGAGCTTTGCCCCRTGCATCCAGTGCTGCAATAAAGTGAATGCCTGCTTCTTAATACTACATTGGTGTTAAGAGGTTTATTCCCGGTTTTCGGTGACAGTTTCTGGCGACCCAGGTGGGACCCTGCTTCTGAATCTCGACGGATCCGTGGGATCGCAGGACCTCCAGCCGGCACCGAGGGATTCTCGGGGAGAACCTCTGATCCCCGGACCGAAGAGCTCTGAACAAGAYCCCTGGACAGGTAAAGGCATTCCTTTCTTAATAAGAGGATCGTTAAGAAAAAAAAAAAGGGTTGCCTGCCTGTAAGACAAGGCCTTGCAGGGTTGGGCAAAGGTACGTACCTAAGGTAAGGGACAGGTTTGGTCAAGGGGTACATTTGTAACCCATAGGTGCCCACCTTAGATGAAGTGAAAGCTTCACAGGTAGGGSTTAGATTGGGCCGAAAAGCTCGCCCATCAGGCGAAGCGAAAGCTTCGCAGGGAGGGCTTCAGGATAGCTGCAGCATAAAGGGTAAAGRTTGAAATCAGGATCCTGTAGGTTAAAGTTCCATCAAAGGGTTAAAAATCAGAGCAATATTGCTGGATAACTGTAGTGTCGAAACTCAGAATGGTATCAGGTTTCCTCGTCTGGATCTTGTATTTAGTGATTGGTTAATTGTGACTTTTTAAAATTTAAAGTGGCATCGGTATTCTCATGTTGGGTGCTCTTGTCTGAACTGTGCATTTGGTGATTGATATATTTAAAGGGCGGGGGGCAGACCCATAATGTGGCAACATAATGGGTTATGTTTGTTCCTCAGAAGGAGGGGAAGAAGGGATCTTGAAAAGACCTCCTCTAGGATGTATTTTAAAAGATTGGGAAATAGTAGGGGGAGATCCCCTTACATGGAAACAACTTGTAGAATATTGTAATCACTGATGGCCACTATATACTCTGGAAGACCAAGAAAAGAGGCCAAAGAATGGAACTTCAAGATATAACACATTTTGTAACATGATGTTTTGCAGGAGGCAGAATAAGTGGATAAGTGGGATGAAATCCCATGTGTAGATTTKTTTTTTTYCSMG